TAACATGAACCCTCATAGACAATAGCACAACTAAACCATGGGTATTTAATACAGAATATGACATGTAATTACCAGAGTGAATCTTAGAATAGTTTAATGTCTTTTGTTATGGTAAAATGAATCAATAGGGTTTCAACATTTTGGTTTCAGTCTTGCACAAACACATCCCTGTGTGGAACTGTTTGCGTGACTAGACCCTCCATTAATTTCCATTAATAAAGAGATAATTAGTGCATAATGAAAAATGTTCAAACAAGTGTCTCTATTATAGAGAACTGAATCTAAAATTTTTCATGATATTCAACTTTTTATTCAGTAGGATCTTGGAACCCCAAAGGGTTTGTATGCACAATTTATCTACATTCCATCTCATGTGTGGTTGTTTTGCAATGCAAATATTCTTCTGTTTAAGCTTGGAATGGGGACAAACCTTTCTCCAGCTCATTTTTTTCCCCCTTTGTGCTAAGTGCCTACAGGGTGATACCTACAGAGTGTAACAAAGTCAAATCCTGAACAGCTGAACCTGTTATTATTGATATGGTTATTGTCATTTGTCTTTGTTTTTATTGATACAAAACTTCACTAGACTTGACTTTACTAGAGATTTGTTTCGAACTCAGAAAAAAGCCCCACTATATTTTGATAGCATATGTGCCTTATTTATTGCCTTTTCTGACCACAGATTTTCAACAAGACTTCATTTTTGTCCTATTTGTCATAGTCCACATTCATTAAAAGATGGCTAGGACTGCTTGCTCACTGAATGCTTCTCAATTCTCCCTGTGTCAAACTACTAGATGGAGCAGACATATTCATCTTTGGAGATAAGACACCATTTTTCTGCTTTTTTAATTAGCATCTAGGTAAAAATAATATTTTATCTGAATCTCACAATTCTTCTTGATTTGTTTAACACGTCACAGTTATGTGACGAGTCTTTCTTGGGGGTAAAGATAGGTGCAAAAATTATTGTTCAGAGCAGTTGGAAGAGATTTCAGTTCTAAAAGTTTGGTTACAGTTATATTTTTCTAGGAAAAAATATATTAAGTCCTTTAAAGAGAAGAAATCTCCCAAAAGCCAAAGATAAAATTTGGCTGCTGATTTCCTTCTGAGAAGATTAAAGATTAGAATTAACGTTAGTAATAAGGCAAGTGAAACTTGTATTGCAATGATTAAACTGGATTTCCTTGGGAAGAGAGATCACGGCTCAGCAAATCTTACTGAACATGCCTCTGAATTTGTGCTGGATTCAGCTTTCCTTATCACCTGTCTCATGAATATTGGAAGGAGTCATGCTTAGAATGATGGAGGTGGAATAGACCATCTAAGAACAAAATATCTGTATCATTAGGGAATTTATGTGGCTGTTGCAAATGAGCATATTATTAAAGACCGTAGCAAAGCAATGCCAGGGGAAGATGAAAGGCAGTTGCCATAGATTGTAATGTGATGCCACAGGTTTTTGCATTCTTGTTTCCTTGCACAACACGGAGGGTGGAAAGTGGGAGAAGAAGAGAGAGAAAATGAAAAATATTCTGCAGAGGGACCAAAAGAAAGTGTCATGAGATGAAAAAGGAAAGTGAATACTATGATGCAATACTGAAGGTTTCTTCAGCATAAATAAATGTGTCTTCTAGGCATGATGCGGCTTCATATGCACATCTTTGTCACAATAGAACTGCTTTTTTATTTCTGCCTGTCTTAGAATAAATTTGATAGCAGCAGGCAGGCAAACAAAGGAATATAGACTGCCTGAGATCCACATTGAGGATTTGTAGAAATCATGTAGAAATGTAGAAACACATGTAGAAAAATCAGCTGCTAACTGTTTTGTAGAATCAGTTCCTCAATACTAGGATTGTATTAGAGGTGTTTATACTATCTACAAACAGAAGGATTTTGCAAATTATTTATCTGGCTGGCAGATGTAATGTGGCAGTGTTATTACACATTTTGTCATGCCAGGTTGACTAGATCAAAATCATTCTCAGGTTCCTTCCTTCTGCGAGCACCACATTCATGCTACAGGTCTTGGCCTCTCAGCATGAAAAGTCACAATGCATAGATGAAGTAAAATTCAGTGCAACTGCTCTCTGAAGTGACCCTGGCATGACTCTGGGAGAGTTGGCTTCTAGATTCTATATGTTTGTGATATAACTAGGCACACTACATACTGGGATCTATATATTTAAAGAGAGACAACATCCTTCCAATAAAAAAAAAAATCTTGTAATTTTGCTCTCATTATTTAAAATATTTGGAAATATTTAATGTCTTTCCAAATGGAAGTAGGTATCAAGAGAAGAAAAAAAAAAAAACCCTACAACTTTTTTATTATTTTCAGTAATGCAATTTGAGCTCCTTCTTGAATAAGAACATATAAATCATTCTGAGTGGTTGTTCTTAACACAGGAAAAATATCAGCAGGTCAAGCAGGGGGACTTTCTTTTTATTTGAATACTTGTAACAGACTTCAGAGAATGTGCATGACTAACTATAAAAATGCATATACAAAGATAGAAACACAAATTCTTTTTTTTTTATGTAAATGCCCTACAAATTAATGCAAGATAACAGAAAATTCCTTTCCTTCCCTTTCCTTTTTAGCTTAGCTCAGAAACCACAAAGTCATTCAGTTTTGGATCCATTCCTATTTCTCAGACTCCCCAGGAGGTGTAGTGAAAGCAAGACATAGCTCTTTCCTGGAACCCCATGGGCATTACTACATGTTTTAGATGTAGATAAGGCTGCTACACTCTGCATTTGGAAAGTCAAGATTTCATTTATAAGGTGCTGAAGCTGGAAGGCTTTCATGTCAAGCCCTCAGCTCACAATCTCCAGCAAAAGAGGAAATGGAGGGTATGTCAGCAGCAGGCAGCCAAGCACAGAACAGAGACATGGCAGTTCAGTGCATATGTTCACACAGCTGAGTGCTGTGTAGAGATACCACGTGCATCTGGCAAAGCATTTCTGTTAGCGTAGCACTGCTTTCAGCAGCAGTGCATCAACAGCACTGCTTGGGCCCAGCACCAGATTATCATCTTTTACGGTTTTAGATGTCTTGCATAGATTAAAAGGAGTCTTCACTGTGTGATGACTCTTTGCTTGGGTGGAAAGGAAAGGGGGTAACAAAAATAAAAACCAAGAATGCTACTGAGGATCTTTGATTTTGCTCCTGAGTAGATGAAGGGTGGTGGGGAACACAGAACAAGTTAGCCTGGGTGGAGCTCTGTAAAAGTATTGTCCCATGTTCACACAGAGATCAATTCAGTTTTGTAACCACTAAATAATTGCTTCCTGATTCCTCCTGTTCTTTTGCCCTCTTCTCCATGGGCAATGTAACCAACAGTTTAACTAGGAATTGTCTCTTCTTGGAGATCATCTTCTTAGATTAGTGCTGAAGTCTCTGAGCAGGACAGCGGTGGTGACTGGGACTAGGAGCTGCTGTTTTGTGACTTGAACCCTTTTTCCAGGTCAGCCTGGTTGCTCAGCATGGAGGGAGCATATGTGGCATATGACATGCTACAGGTCTGAGCTCAGACATGGAAACACACTCAGAGTGAAATAATCAGGATAAAATTCAACAGAAAACAGCACATTATCAGTAGCAGAGCTACTAAAATTAGGTTTGTTCAGATTGAAGTTATGCCTTTTGCAGCTTCCCATGACAACAGCCACTACAATGATCCTAACTTGTGTTTTTACATTTGTTTTCTCAATGCACTGCTCTCAGTACCTCTCCTTTGACCTCCTCTTTCCAGCTCCCCTCCTACGGTCAACTCCCATTTCCTCTAACCTCCCCATTTCCATCACTTCCCCATTTCCAGATCCCTCCCTGGTTAGCTGGACATCAGGCAATGTGGCAGACTTGGAGGTGGCAGATCAGGCAGGCAGTATTTTGTTGATTCTCATTAAACATTTTATCAATTTAAATCTCTTTGAGATCTTTATCCTTCTATAAAATTTGTTTGCAGTTGAACATCACTGGGGAAAGACGGACAGATGGTATAATCACATAATCCTTTCACTGGGAAGCCACATTTAAAAAAAAAAAAAAGAGGGGCAAAAGTAATAAAACCATCCTGTTTCTTTTTGGAGACTGGATGGAGGCAGAGAGATCTGGCAATCAGATACAGATTATGTAGTGGTCAGGGTTGGAATCAATACTTAGAGTCTTCATTCAATATGTTAAAGGGGCTTTGGATCGTGATCACATGTGCTATGACACAGATATAACTATGGGTCTGCTGGGCCATATTGTGTACTGGTTTAGGAGAAAATCCGATTCCTTCTTCACTTTCCACTCTCTCCTGCAGTTTATCAGTGTGGGAACCTTTGCTGTGGTTCAGATGGTGATCTGCAGAGGCAGAAAGGACCATTTCACACAGCTGTATGAGTATTAGATGCTTCCCATAGCTCTGTGTGGGACTCTGGATTTTAGGACCACCCCAACCTCGTACCAGCATAACAGTTTTTGTGGGTGTGAACACACTCTCAGCCACGCTGCCCAATCGCTCTTTCTTGAAGGTATTTTCCACGTGGCACAAAGGACCCAAGGCCACAGACATCGAGCCCATTGTGATTGCTAAAACATATAAGATCTCCTGGGAATTCGTCGCAGTTAACATTAAATCGCTTAAGCCATTGCAGTTAAATGACACATCTGTAACGCTGCAGGTAGCCGGAGTGCAGCCGCGGGCATCGCTGCCGAGCGCTGTGAGGGCAGCGCGGAGCCGCGCGCGGCGCGGCCGCCGCAGGTGCCGCGAGGGCGGCGGGGAGCGCCGCGGCTGCGGCTCCGCGCGGCCCGCGCCGAGGGAGCCGCTGCGGGCGGGCGGCGCCTCGGCTGTGAGGGCCGGGGCCGCCGGGGCCGCTCCTCTCCGGAGAACAGCCGGACCGCTCCGGGCCGCGACCCCAGGCGCGCACGGGGCCGGGGAGAGGCAGCGCCGCTGCCTCGCCCGCCTGGCCGGGGCGGGGCAGGGGCGCGGCCGCTGCCGCCGCTCCCCGGCCGCCCGTTACGGCCGCGGCAGGAGCCATGAGCGGCTCGGGCTCGCAGGAGCCGCCGCCCAGCCGGACGGCAGAGGAGGACCGGCAGCTGGAGGCCGAGCAGGACTGGGCGGCGGCCAAGGCTTTCTACGACAGTCTGGTTACCCAGAGGCCGCGGCCGGTGAGTGCGGGCGGGCCGGGGGTTGCCGGGGGTTCGGGGCTCCGGGGGAGGTGGGGCCGGCGCTGAGGGCCGCGGGCCGGCGCTACCCTGCGCTCGCTCCGCAGCCCAAGCCCCAGAACGCCATCACGGTGGCCGTGTCCTCCCGAGCACTCTTCAACTTGGTGGAGGAGCAGCGGATCTACGAAGAGCAGGGCGTGGAGAAGTACGTGGAGTACCAGCAGAAAAACGAGAACGACATCTTGAAGCCCGGACCGGCATTCTACTTCGTCAAGGTAGCCAGGAGACGGCCCGGAGCGGGTGGCCGGCGGGGCAGGAGAGCGTGTGGGCGCGGCGGGGCGTGGGGGATGCCGCGGGGCCAAATTTCGGGAAGAGGAGGAGCACGAAGCCTCCTGCAGCGGGGAAAATCCCGCCTTGGGGAGATATGTTTGAGAGTTGTTCTCCCAGCTCGTCGCGGCGGGGCTGCCCGGGAGCGTCCCCCGCATCTCTGCGCGCCCTGGCCCTGCGGCCACCGCTTCTCTCCCCTCTCCCATTCCCTCTCCTCCTCTCCTGCCCTCCCCTCCCGCCGCCGCTAATGCCGAGCGCGGGCGGCACAGCACGTACTGCTCGCGTCACCGGGACCGGAGTGGTACCCTCAGCATCCCGGTTTGTATCCCGGCTCACAGCGCCACATCCCAGGTGTGGGTAAGGAGCAGCCTGCTTTTTCCGCTGGACATGGAGCGTATGAAGCACCTTTCCTTTTAAGACTGTTTCAGACACGATACGCCCCAAATGTTTTTTGTCACATCCTCCTCCTCCCCGAAATCATCCCATAACAAAACAAATAAAGCAACTCAGTTCCTCTCCCCACCAAAAAAAAAAAAAAAAAAAAACCCAAACAAAACCCAAATAGTGGATGTTGATTTTAATTTATTTTTCTCAGCTTTAATTTTTTCCTTGCTTTTGTTGTCACCCTGGAAATTGTTCTTGAGGACCAGCAAAAGAAATGGAGTCCCTACTTCTGAGTCAGGGTTTAAGAAGAGCTGAAATGGAATATTTTGCTTTCATTGCACAAAAAAAACCCAGAGAAATAGCCAAGGAAAACACCCTGTAGCATGGAAACCAAGTGAAATTACAGAAAAGTAAAAAAAAAAATAAATAAAATAAAATAAAATTTTGAAGAGCACAGGTTTTAGTAGGACCATCTTGAAAAAAGATTGTTTATAGTTACTTTTATTACAGTCCATTGAGAACTGTTTGCTAAGCTTTACCAAAAGGACTTCAGAAAATTAATGAAACCATAATTAGAAATCATATTTGCTGACATCAGAGATGTTGCAGAACATTTCAGGTTTTAAAAGTAGATTTTCATTAATTCAGTTTTGGTCTCAGGAATTTAAAACATTTTCTTCATTACTCACTTTATTAACATAGTGGAAAAAATACTTATGTCAATACCCATGCATGTAAATATAGCTATTAGCAGCATTAATGGCACAAGCACTGTAAAGGTGTTTGTAACATAAAAGTGTGGCCATAAAATAATTCACTGTGCACACCAGTGAGGGCCGACTGACTTGGGAATTTACTGCATCTTTTCCTATATGTAGCAGTCCTGCTAGCACAGTTAGTTTTTAATGTTAGATTTCAGTGTCAAATTTACTTAGATTATAAGCACAATTTGACTCTTTAACTGCTCATATTTTGGAAATCAGAGCTGTTAGCTATGCCCAGGTAAATGCAACTTGATCTCTGTTATGCCATTTTTGTTTAAATTCTTTATATTACTTAGTCACAGGAATCATAAGGCTAGAAGAAATAATATAATTTTTTGTTTATTCCCTTATTGAAATGTTTAAGATACTAACTATCACAGACCAGGGTGTCTTTAGACTGCAAAGTATAAAGACACTTGATGAAAAATGGAATGCCCTCCTCCACTCACCCTTATTCTCTAATAATTTAAGAAATTGCCTGTCTAGTAGAGTATTAATAATAGAAGTGAGTTATGACCACATACTAAGATATTTTTCTAGGCCTTACACTAGGCTCCAACTTAGATTTTTCCTAAGCACAGTTCCATAATAACATAGCTTTGTAAAGTGAGAGTTCCAGAATTTAATTATGAAATCTGTGGTTTAGTTCTGAACAACTAGCCTGACTTTTTAAAGCATCTTAATAAAAATCACTCTAACTTGCATTCATTTGATGATTCATTATTGATTTTGTTGCTGCAATCCCAAAGAATTTCATTCAAAGGTCAAAATGAAGTTCTAAAGAGGAGAACAGATGGATACAGAGAGCAATGAGCAGATGAAAGGTCAAGGAAATAAGAATGCCAGACTGTGGGTATAACATGCCAGCCAATTATCTTTGAAGAGCTCTCAAATAAAAAGTTGTCTCATTTATTGCTGCAATTAGAAACTCTCAAGCTAATCATGCTGACAGGATATGATTTTGTATTCATTACTTAAGGATGGTCTTTGACACCTGATGACCTGAACTGTGTCAGTAAATCAGCAAAAGTAAATTCCATAGCTCAAAAAAAAAAAAAAAAAAAAAAAAAAACAAAAAAAAAAAAAAAAAAAAAAAAAAAAAAAAAACCCAAACACTTCCTTTCAAATGAACCCAGTCAAATGGTTGCTGGGGGCAGCAAAGCAGAAGGAGTAAAAGAAGTTCAGCAAGTTAAACTATCAGGTATTTTACACTCTCCTTCAAGCTAATCCTATCACTACAACTCCAGTGACTAAGAAAGGAGGCATACTTGACTGTTGACTTCCACATTTTCAATCTGCAGGCGCTGGAGCATGTTAATGTCCGGCTTCTCGAGCTGTACCCTGATGATGAAGAACGGTTTGATATTGTCCTGATGACTAATAACCATGCCCAAGTGGGAGTGAGACTCATAAACAGCATCAATCACTATGGTAAATAAAAGAATTAGTGATGTGTAGAATTGCCACCTGTTACATAATAATATGAATTAATTTTATTCTTCCTGTTTTGACTTTGGGAAAAGCAGCTTCTTGGATCTTTATTTTTGGGTGTCAGCACAAGTGAAATAGTATTAGAATTTGATCCAGTGGTCTAGATTTGTCAGGTGTGAACCATAACTTCTGAGAAGTCCTTAAACTTTTTCATATTTGGTATCTATGCTCCCTACACATACATCTTCACAACAGTTACTCTGTTGTCACAGAGGGAATTTTTTCCCCTAAATTCTCAGTGAGGATGGGCTGATCAAATACTGTAGTTGTTTGAAGTTGTGTAACTTGTTGAAATTACAATGAACGTATTTTCTTAAGTTTACTGTAGGCTAGGCTAGTGTACCTTTTCGCAGGTTCCTTTAACATCTTTGAAGTGTCAAGGCAGAGCTGCACCCTGTGCTGTTCTCTTACTTTAGGCTTAACAATTGAACGTTTCTGTATGACGGGAGGAGAGAGCCCCATTGGTTACCTGACTGCATACCTCACGAACCTGTACCTCTCAGCAGATTCTGACAAAGTGCAGGAAGCTATAAAAGCAGGTTTGAATTGACTTTCTTTTGCTATCTGTTGATATCTTTTGTTATCTCGTTGAGCTTGTTCAAAAAGTATATTTATTGTGTGTCTTTCACAGAAATTAGTGCTGCTTCATCAAATGCAGGAAGTCACCACTTTGTATGGTGCAGGCTCATCACTTATTTTTACTCAACCAAATAAAATCATGTAATACAGTCCCTCTCTGACCCTTCGGCCTTGCTGATAGCAATAACTTCAACACCCTACACCTTTGTCTTCTCCCCTTCAAAAAGAAACAAGACTCCCACCTCTATTCAGCTTCTGTTTGAATCGCATCATCTCTTTGATACAACTTTAAAAAGCAACTTCTGTGCCCCCTTTTTGTTAAAAAGTAACAAATACTTTGATTGAGTGGTCTCCTTGGGATTTCCTGCTTTTCTCTCATTTGCAGCACAGTTTGGGAAGCAATTTATATAGTCTTACACAAAAGTGGATAGAAGAATGTCCGGGATGTTTTGGCAGTGGGACAGCTTCCATGCATTTGTGTTACAGAACAGCCAGCTCTAATTAGCTTTTGTGATTGGTCATGTTTACCATATATAAGGGTCACCACCAGTAAGTTGTTGGAAGCAAACTGCTGATGGTTTCCTGACTGACTTTGCAGGACATACTAACTGAGGGTCTCTGATCTATTTTCAGGCATTGCATCAGCTACGATGTTCACTGCCAACAAAGACGTTGTTTACTCGGATACACAGCTGAGGGTGGCTTTTGATGGGGATGCTGTTATCTTTTCTGATGAATCAGAACAGATTTTCAAAGAGCAAGGATTAGATAGATTTTTTGAACATGAACAACTGAATGAAAATAAGCCTCTTGCACAGGTTTGTATTTCTTTAATTTCTGGTTTAAAGGGAGTTTCCAAAAGATCTGATGACTTTATTGCTGCTGTATTTCTCCATTTCCCCAGTGTGGATGTGGTTTTTGTGAAAGCTGATGCCCCTATTTGTTTCCTTCTTCAAAGATAATCTTTAAAATGCATGTTTCACATAAAAGGGGCAACCATTGCAGTCCTTTTACCAGGCCATCATTGCAGTCCTCTCTCATTTCTGTGAGAGAACTCCATATATAAGACAGTCACTGATAGTTGTCTTTTAATAGTATCATTAGAAAAAGAAATGTTAGTACTGATTTCCCTGATTTTTTTTTTTAATCAGACTGTAGGTAATGTTAATTTCAAGCACTGAGATATTCTGGTTATTAAAACAGGATAATATCTGCTTATTCCCAAGCAGAGCTATGCCATTTGTCTAAAACCACAAATATTTTAACATTCGCTTAAACTGAAATAACAATTCTGCTATTGTTAAAAATAGTGTAAATTCAGAGTAAAAGCTTTGTTTAGGAAAGTACTGGACAGTACAATATATTGCAATTTGAACAAAACTGTCATTTGCTTCTAATAACTGGGGTATAATATAGTCATTAGTCTTAAAAGAGTTAATTGATGGCTTTGTGTTTAAATTGATGTTAATTGATGTTTTTTGTGCAGGAAAAAATTACAGCTCATGGTTCATAGCAAAAAGACTTCTGTGTTTTCAATGAACATTTTATTAAAGACTGTAATTAAAAAATAATATTGTAAGAGATCTTGTAAACCTTAGTGAGAATTATTTTCCCACTGATCCTGCCACGTAGTGTTATGGTTTTAACTTTTTGCCAATGTGTGAATTCCTAGTGAGAGTGGAGACCCATTTGGAGATGTTACATATAAAATTTGTGGAATAGCACAGCATTAGGAAAAGGAATTCTCTGTGTAACTGGCAGTTGGGAAGAAAGCAAAAGAATTATTTGGGGAACTGTGGGCATATACTAAATATGCTTCTGGTATTTCATACTCAGGGTCCTCTGAAGGGTTTTCTGGAAGACCTGGGGAAACTCCAGAAGAAGTTCTATGCAAAAAATGAACGATTAAATTGTCCTATAAGGACCTACCTGGTCACAGCCAGAAGCGCAGCGAGCTCTGGAGCCAGAGTGCTGAAGACTCTCCGTAGCTGGGGTCTGGAGATTGATGAGGCACTTTTCCTAGCAGGAGCACCTAAAGGACCAATCCTGGCGAAAATCCGCCCTCACATTTTCTTTGATGACCAGATGTTCCACATTGAAGGAGCACAGAAATTAGGCACAATAGCCGCACATGTTCCCTATGGTATTGCTCAGAAGTACCAAAAATCTACATGAGTGGAGGGTGCCATTAAAGATGAGGTTCTTAACTCAGCCAGCCTCTAATTACCAATAGTTACATCTGAAAACCTCTACATTTTTGTATTGTGAGCACTGTGTCTAAAGATTTAACTTTTGGCTAGGACAGCCTTTAAAGGAAGTGTTTTTAATAGAGTTGTTTTAATATAATTCTTAAGGAGTTTAGATTTTTTTACCTGTCTGTATCTAATACTATGGTTTTGATATTAGATTTGTACTGTTTTTATAGCTTGAGACATATTCTGAGAGACAGAACAGTTATATTTTATCTAAAAAACTGTTGATGGGTTATTTATAAGAAAATTCATTCTGCAATGCTGGTTCTTGACAATCCCAAAAGCACAGTTTACATATAACTGTTTACCTGTTGGTGGTTTGCTGGTTAAATATGTGTTCAGTAGGTCTGTCACCACATGGTTTTGGCTTCTAGTAAAATATTGATGCATTTGGTCATGTTTGCATTATTTTCCTATATTGCTTTCTTAATAAAGCTGGCTTTACAGAACATTGTCATTTTTCTATGTAGAGGTTTTAGCATAATTTCTTAGGCAGAGTGTTCCTGATGTTTAGAACCAGAAGTGACCACTTTCAGTCAAATCTGAGAGCTAGAGGTGTCACCTTGACCCAGCATACTTCACAGAACTGGGCAGAAGTCTGACACGCTGTGAGTATCTTGGCTGAGACAAAGGCTGAAGCTTTAGAGCATGCCTTCATAATACATAATCTACCTGGAAATAATGTTGTTGATAGAACTACTTTCTTCTTAACTAGATTCCATTAGGATTTGAACAACCATTCTGTGAGCTGCGTGAACTTAGTTTGGCAACTTCTGATGAGTTTCCAGAGGACAGGTGCCTGTTGCTGCATGACTTCATCTTTACACCATAGATCTATTCTTTCTCTTTTATGCTAAATTCCTGTATCTCATTGTTATCCATGTAACTAAGCGATATCCAAATGACACCACTAACATCTGTCAGGTGGTGTTTGTTCTCTTTCTCTCCCTAGTGGAAGAACTAACCTGGTTTATTATTTATTGTCATATAGTCATACCAGAAGAGACAAAACCAAAAGAATGTACTTTGCAGTGGAAGTAGAAATGGTGAATCAAGCTTGTCATAATCTGTGGTTCCTGGGGGAATTTGGCCCAGAATCTCACGTTAGCCTCTGAAAGTTTGGTCTCCTCTGTCCAGATGAACAGTCCTGTTATTGCAGAAATCTCCACTGTATTAATTATGGTTTCCTTCCCAGGAACATAGGCGATCATTTTAATGTTCTGGGTCCAAGCCACAAAGTTCTTTGGAAGCAAAGGCAAAAGCCTTGATCCTGCATGAAACACAAATAGAGACTCTTGGAAAGGTTTCCAAGTGTTCACACCAGTATGTGATGTTGATGGGATGCACTGCAGATTTCTGGTGTACTTGGAGCTTCATATGTGCTAAAGGCTTGGTGCCCAAAACGTATCACATTTCCCAGCCCAGCCAGGAGGTGAAGAAGACATTAATTAACTGAGGCCTGGTCATTGTCTGCCAGGATGGGATAGAGTTACCAAATGGAGATTATGAAAAATGTTATTAGCAGATGTTTTTATGTGAGAGATCAGAGTCCACAAGGAATTCAGAAATATTCCTTAGCTTTGGAATATAAATTGTGTGTGTACCTTTACCACAAAAGCATGGCTGCAAATTTCAGAAAGACCAGTCCTGCCTTTTTGAAGCAGAGCATGTATTAGCTGGTTTTCATCCATACATTGTTAGAGCTGTAGAGACTGGGTGCAGGAAATAAAACTGGCATTTGACTCTCACTGAACAACTACATCTTGATAATTAAAAGGTTAATGGAATCCTTAATCCCTATCAGAGTGCAGAGGTGAGCCTCATACCTGACAGGCCAAGCATGCAAATCAGTGAATAAACTGGAAGCCAAGTCATGTGGTCTGTTATGTTTACCTTTATTTCCAGTGAACCATCCACGTACAGCAAGAATGAAACCTACTGGCCAGGACACCAGAGCTTCCGAGTCTTTTTTGATCGTGCACACAGTACTTGGGGATTCCCTCTTGCAGTGGCTTCCTGACAGCACTAAAGCACATGTAAAAAGTGTTCACAAATCTACATAGTAGAATTTACATTCTTAGTGACAGAATTCAAATTGACATTAAAGTTCAGGAGCTGATGCTAAGGCCCACAATCACTTTTCCTAAATTAGTTGACTAAAATGCTCTTAAATGTTTCAGATCATACACTGTCTTTTAATTGTCAGGCAACAGTCCCCGGGCTCGATGGCTGCTTCTCTGCATATCCAGCTGGCAGCATGGTGGGGGAGTGGAGCCTACTAGTTCATGCAAGTACCTTCCAGACTAATCTGGATGTTTGGGGAGAATCAGGCTTGCCAAGCAGCCTCTGCCTGTTAAAATTATTTTCTTCTGCTCCAAGGCACAGCTTGGCTAGTGGACCGAAATAATCTTTTTCAAGAAAATTCTGTGAAGTGGGGCGGGAGCTGAGGGAAAGTGTTTTCTATTTTTGTAGACATAGAAGAGAATTGTCTCTTAATAGCATTCCAATCCACAAAACAAAACAAGCAAACAACAACAACCACAAAACTCAATAAAAAATGTCTTGCTTGTCACGCTCATCATGCTACCATGAGTTTATGCCCTCGTAACCCTAAGCCAGTCACAGTTAAAACAACAGAATTTTTTTTTTCAGTAAGGGAATATAAAGAACTGTCTTTTATCAGTCTGTTTACAACACTGGAAGACAGACTCATGAAAAGGAAACTGTCATCTTAGAGAAAATCTGGAGGAGGATTAGTAATAACACAGATGAATTGTGTGGAAACAAAACTCCGTCAGGGGAATCCAGTTCTTGTTCCCTTAGTATCCAGGTTCCTGCACTGCTTAAGAGTCCAGGAAAGACAGTAAGACAAATGGGAATATCTCCAACTGCTACCAATCCCTGTGGAGAAAAATGTTATAAATAGGATTCTGAAGGTGTCTTCAGATTTTTGCTTTACAGAACATATTCTCAGAGTGTGTTAGATATTTCCCACCAGCTACCAAGACAGCATAAACCAATGTTCCCAGTTCCTCCCATCTTTAAGACACACTTTTAATTTCCAGGCTAGCATGTTATCTGGAGGAGCCAAAATATAAAGTATTTCAGATAAAAAAAGTTGGAGATAGTCATCATCACATGTCTTCCAACATGCCTTTTGAACTGTGGTCTTTTCTAAGGATGTGGGATTCAGAGGGCTCCTACATTCTGAGGAGGATCCTCAGGTACCCTCTCAGGCTCCTCTGCCAGATCCTGTAACCTGCACTGGCCTGCAGTACTGCTAAACACAACCTTGAGTGCAATAGAGGAATACAGAAATCTGTGGAGCAGGTCAATGTCAGAAGAAATAATTTCCAGTTATCATGCTCAGTATCTGGGACCAACATCTGGATGCACACATCATTCCTGCCTACATGAGCAGCTTCTGATCACCACGAGTTCCTGAGCACAGTGCTCCTTGCACTGAAGGCTGGACTGACATCAACAAACACAGGCAGCACTCTCGAGGCAGTGCCCTCTCCAACACATCTGCAGCCTTCTAAGTAGGAGTATCAGAGATGACTGGAGTGTACTCACAGCCAAGTGATGAACAGCAGATTCTTTAGCTCTCACCAGGATGGTTTCTTACAGAATTAATCTGCTCCTCTAACAGGGTGTTTCCTAGTTCTCCTATTTTGACATGTCTTTGGCAACTACTTTTCCTTCCTCACGTTCCTTGACTGGGTGTGGCTGCAACGCCTCCCAGTACGTGTTTACTATGAGAAGAACATATGGAAGAACACCCCAACATGGCTCTTACACCATGTTAGGATGTAAAAGTCCATATTTCATACACAGATGCAGTGGTGTGGCCTGGCTAAAATACCCTTTGGTGTAACCACAAAGCTCAAAATGGAGTGAATGGCCAAGAATGAAGAACATGTCTTCTGTGGTGAAGACAAAGACAGAAGACATCTGTAAAAAAATCTGTAGTGTTTAGATGTGGTGCTGCCTATACATCCCTTAAACTGCCTGAGAAGTGCAAGACAGTCAGAAAAGACATTGTAAGGGTACTTCCAGAAGAATCTGCTGTTTCTGCTGTTGTAACACAGGCTGAGATCAGCCTTAGAAGTGACTGCAGCTGTGTGACAGCCTGCAGGTAGCACCAACATATGACAGTTAAGGGGAGCTTGTTATTGCAAATGGTTGTCATGTCCAGACAAGCCACAAGAAACCTGATTAAAGGCTCATGGGTTTCTTCCTGGGTTTCTTAGTCATCTTAGTCATCTTAATCATCCAAATGTGCCAGGCCTTGACTCAGGACAAACGTTCCTTATCAGCCAAGTCAAGCTTGTTTCTTGTCTCCCTGTATTCTCCTGCTTGCTGCCCTCTAGTTCCTCATTACAAACTTCTCTTAATCTGTGTTGTTCTGTCCTCTTTGACTCTACCTTGTTCCTAAATCTACACTGAACTCCAGTAGTGTGGTTTTGGGGGATTTTTGTTGTTTGTTTGTTTGGGCTGTTGTGGTTTTTTTTTTTGTTTTTTTTTTTTTTGTTTTTTTTTTTGTTTTGTTTTTTTTGTTTTTTTTTTTTTTGGTTTGGTTTTTTTGTTTTAGTTTTTTT